CCTGGGACATTCCAAACCCCCCCTGCATGCCCCTTAACCCCCAAAAACCCCACTGGAGACCCCCAAAACCCTTCCTGGGACCCCCCAAATCCCCCTTCACTCCCCCTATCCCCCAAAAACCTCACTGGGGACCCCCCAAACCCCTTCCTGGGACATTCCAAACCCCCCCTGCATGCCCCTTAACCCCCAAAAACCCCACTGGAGACCCCCAAAACCCCTCCTGGGACCCTCCAAATACCCCTTCACTCCCCCTATCCCCCAAAAACCTCATTGGAGCCCCCCAAACCCCTTCCTGGGACCTCCCAAATACCCTTTCACTCCCCCTACCCCGCAAAAACGCCACTGGGGACCCCCAAAACCCTTCCTGGGACCCCCCTAACCCCCCTCTCCTGTCCCCAGGTGTCCCCTCCTGCCCTCCCTCCCGTGGTGGCCACGGCGGAGGCCGCACGGCACAGGGCCCTGGCGGCCCTGGTGGCCCTGGCCGAGGCCTTGGGGACACCGGACAGCGTCCCCACGGCGCTGGCCGAGGCCGAGGCCGCACTGAGGCAGGCCCAGGGGGCCCTGAAGGAGCTGGAGGCAGCCCGGGAGGCCGCGGTGGCCCCGGCGGTGGCCCTGGGGACCCTGGGGGACGAGGACGAGCAGCGGCTGCAGCATCTCGTGGCCAAGGCTGAGGAGGCAGCGGCGGCGCTGGGACGTGAGGAGGAACGGGCACGGCGGTGGCAGCGCTGGCTGCGGGCTTGGCACATGGTCACCATGGGGCTGATCATGCTGTGCGGGGCCGTGTGTGAGTAAAACACCAGTAGGGACCAGTAGAAACTAGTATAAACCATTACAGACCAGCAGTGATCAGTATAGACCAACATGGAGCAGTATGGAGCAGTGGGAGGCAGTATGGACGAGTATAGACCAGTAGAGACCATTATGAACCAGTATAGGCCAGTATAAACCAGTTCAGACCAGTATACATCTTTATAGAACAGTGGGAGGCAGTTCAGACCAGTTCAGACCAGTGTGAGTTTCTACAGACCAGGAGGGACTTTCTCCTGCCCTTACCAGTATAGACCAGTATGGACCAGTACAGAGCTGTGGGGACCAGTTCAGACCAGTATGAACCAGTATAAACCAGTTCAGACCAATATGGACAATATTAATATCTACAGACCAAGAGAGACTTTTCCCTGCCCTTACCAGTATAGGCTAGTTCAGACCAGTATAGACCAGTATGGACCAGTGTAGAGCATCATGGGGCAGCAGGGGATGCAGCAACCAGTACAGACCAGTTCAGACCAGTATGGAGCCCTACCGACCAGTAGAGACCTTCAACTGCCCCAGGATGGGGACACTGGGATGGAACTGGTTACACTGGGACAGGGACGGTGGGACAGGACTGGGGAAACTGGGACAGGGCTGGTGATACTGGGATGGTGACATTGGTATGGGGACAATGAGGTGGTGGCACTGGGATGGTGACATTGGTATGGGGACAATGGGGCGGTGGCACTGAGGTGGTGACATTGGTATGGGGACAATGGGGTGGTGGCACTGGGCTGGCAGTGAGAGCACTGGGATGGAACTCAGGACACTGGGGTGGTGACACTGGAATGATGACACGGGTGTGGTGGCACTGGGATGGAACTGGGGACACTAGGTTGGTGACACTGGAATGTTGACATGGGGCTGGTGGCACTGTGGCAGCCCTGGGGACAATTGGGTGGTGGCACTGGGATGGAACTCGTGACACTGGGACACAGCTGGGAACACTGGGACAGGGACACTGAGATGGGATGGGGGACACTGGGTCAGGACTGGGGAAACTGGGGTGGGACTGGTGACACTGGGATGGGGACACTGGGGCAGAATGGGGGACACTGGGATGAAACTGGGGACACTAGGATTGAACTGGTGACACTGGGCTGGTGCCATGGGTGGCACTGGTGACACTGGGATGACTCCCTTGGTTGGGGTACTGGGATGGAACTGGGAACACTGGGAGGGGATGCTGGGATGGAGACATCAGGAAGGGACTGGGGACATGGGACACAACTGGGAACACTGACGCAGGGACACTGGGACAGGATGGGAGATGCTGGGACGGGACTGGTGACTCTGGGAGGGAACTGGGAACACAGGGATTGTGACATTTGGATGGATCTGGTGATAGTGGGATGATGACATTGGTATGGGGACAAGGGGGCAGTGGCACTGGACTGGAACTGGGAGCATTGGGCTGGCTCTGGGAGCACTGGGATGGTGACACTGGGTTGGTCACATCGGGACAGCCCTGGGGACACTGGGGTGATGACACTGGAATGGAACTGGTGGCTCTGGGATGGAACTGGTGACACTGGGGTAGTGACACCGGAGCAACCCTGTTGGCACTGGGGTGATGACATCAGCACAGGGACACTGGGCTGGAACTGGGGACAGTGGGAGGTGACCGGTGACACTGGGATTGGGATACTGGGACAGGACTGGGGACACTGGGCTGGTGGCACAGTGATGGTACTGGTGACACTGGGACACAACTAGGAACACTGGGACAGGATGCGGGACAGGACGACAGGACTGGGGAAACTGGGAGGGAACTGGTGACACTGGGAACACTGGGATGGGGACATTTGGATGGATCTGGTGACACTGGGATACTGACAATGGTATGGGGACAATGGGGCGGTGGCAGTGGGCTGACACTGGAAGCACTGGGATTGAATGGAAGCACTGGGATGGAGCTGGGGACACTGAAATGGTGGCACTGGGACAGGACTGAGGACACTGTTTCTGCAGCTGGGTTGGTGACACTGGGCTGGTGGCACTCAGGTGGTGACAGTGGGACAGAACTGGTGGCACTGGGATGGAGCTGGTGACACTGGGGTGCTAGCACTGGGGTGGAACTAGTGCCACTGCTCTGCTGCTGGTGCCACCAGTCTGGTGGCACTAGACAGGTGGCACTGCCGTGTCCCTGGTGCCACATGTCCGGTGTCCCCATGTCCCTGCAGTGTCCCTGGACTCAGCCCGCACTGCCCTGGGGGTGACTGACGATGGTCACCTGCTGCTGGCCCTGACTGTGGTGGCCGTGTCTTGCGAGGTGGCCCTGCGGGGTTTGGGGACATCGCGGCGTCACCTGGCCAATGCTGCAGGCCACCAGCGGGACATGGCCCTGCGCCTGCATGACCGTGCCCAGCAGGTGGCGGCCAACAGGGCCAGCGCCGAGGCCGCCACAGCCACCAACAGGGCCACCGCGGATGCGCTGGGGCAGCTGGAGAAGGTGACGCGGGCACTGAAGGAGTTGGTGGAGGCTGTCAACCAGGATAGGGAGGAGACGCCGTGGGGAACACGGAGACAGGGCTTCCCCAGCGCTGCCAAGGAGCTCGGGCGCATCGTAGGGAGGTGGAGGGAGGTGGACAAGGAGGTGGCACAGAGGCTGGAGGCAGCCCATAGAGGGCTGGTGGGGCAGGGGTAGGGATGGGCTGGGGACATGCGGGTGGCATTGTCACCGCTGGGGCACGGGGACACCCTGAGGGACATTGGGGACCTTGGGGACATCCCCGTGTCCTTCCCTTGGGGACCCCCAGGCCACCCTGACATCCCCTGTCCTGTTTTGGGGCACCACAATGTCCCTGCTGTCCCCACAGTGACCAAAACAGGATCCCAGTGTCCCCTAGTGTCCCCAGCAGGACATCAGGAGACATTTGCACCCTGCTGGGGACATGGGGGGGGCATCAAGGCCTGTTGGGGACACTCGGGGGACATCAGGGTCCCATTGGGGACACTTGGGGGATATTTGGGCTCTGTTGGGGGCCCTGAGGAAATGCTGGGGACATTGGGCTCCTGTTGGGAACATCAGGGAAGACATTGAGGCCCTGTTGGGGACACTGAGGGGATACTGGGGGTCTCTTGGGGGACAACAGGGCCCTGTTGGGGACACTGAGGGGACATCAGGGTCCTGTTGGAGATACTCAGGGGACACTGGGGCCATGTGGGGACCCTGAGGGGACATTGGGGTGCCGTGGGGGCCATCAGGGGGACATCGGGCACCCGCAGATGGGGGGGGCGGGGCCGGGGTGGTGATGTCACCTCTTCCTCTTTACTGCCGGCTGTGCCGCGTTCCTGCGTGTCGCCCGAGTGTCCCCCAGGTGTGTCCCTGTCCTGTCCCCTGAGGCCATGGAACCCTGTGAGGTAAGACAATCCAGGTGCAGGGGGGCAGGAGGGGACAGGGGATGGCAAAGAGGACAGCAGCGTGGCAGGAACAGGGAGGTGACAGAGGGGTGGTGGGGACAGAGAGTGGCAGGGGGGAACAGTGGAGGGTGGCAGGGGGTGGCAGAGGTGACGAGGGGGTGACAAAGGGATGGAGGGGACAGCAGAGCCCTCCAGGGAGCACACAAATGGGAGCCCCAGGAGGGAAGAGGGACCATCCCAGGAGGCCACAAGTGCCACGAGGTCCCTGCCACCTCCCCTGTCCCCTCCACAGCTGCTGGAGTTGCTGGTGGACGTGGTGGCCACCCTGGGCGAGCTGGCAGCCACCGTGGCCGGGCCGTACGGGGACGTGCTGCTGGGCGTGTCCCCAAGGTCCCTGCAAAAGGCCCTGGGGACCTTCATCGGCCACCTCCGGGACACCCTGGGCCACCCCCGTGTCACCTCCCTGGGCGAGGCCCTGGCTGCCCTCAAGGACAAACGAGGGGCTACCTGGGCCCATGTGAGAGATGCGGCCAGCACCTGGCGGGACTTGGTGGCCACATTCAAAGACAGCTGGGACCAGCTGGCCAGGGAGGCCACCGAGCTCTGTGACCCCTGCAGTGACACGGCCACCAGGGAGACCACCACTGCGGCCACTGCCAACACCTGGGCCGGGGACCTGCGGGTCAAGGAAAAACGCTGGGAGAAATCTTGGCACAGCCTGGTGGCTGAGGCCTGGCAGCTGCCACTGGTCCGGGACAAGGAGAAGGTGGCCTCGGCCATCACTGAGTACGATGCCCATATGGAGGCCGCTGCCAATGAGGAGCAGGCGGCCACCAAGGCCATAGAAGAGGCTGTGGTGGCCTCCAGCATGGCGGGGGCGGCTACTAAAAGGGGCCAGCGGGCAGAGGTGGCCCTGGGCCCACTGGAGCGCTTGGTGGCTGCGTGTGACAAAGCCACCGCGTTCCCCCAGGAGCTGCTGCGCCGGCTCAGGACCATCCAGGCCTCCCTGGAGGGGATGTCCCCAACAGCTGATGTCCCCAACAGCTTGGTGGCTGCGGTGGCCGAGGCTGAGCAGGTGTGGAATGCCAGCACCTGCCTGGTCAGTGATCACCTGCTGGGAACACTCGGGGACATCCGCGCACTCCTCTCGAGTGTCCCTGGTGGCCCCACTGGCCATGCAGTGGCCATGCAGTGCCAAAAAGCTGTCGAGGCCATCCCGAAGCTGCTGCGGGGACATTAATGTCACCGCTGTGATATCATCAGGGGTGGTGAAATCATTGGGGATATCTCTGGTGTCACCTGTCCACTCCCTCGTCCCCGCCAGAGATTTGAGACAAGTTTGGGGAATTTCCTGGGAATTTTCATTAAAATTGCCCAAAATCCTGATGGGAATGGCTGGGGTCATGTCACTGGGGACACTCTTGGGACACTCTGGGGCCACTCAGGGACACTCATTGGCGGTTTGGTGGTGGTGAATGAGGCAACTTTCCATCATGGGTACAGCAGATCATTTCTTGAGCCTCCTCAAAAACCTTCAGGTGCCTTTCCCTCCATGGGCAGTTTCATCTCAAATGCCCAATTTCCCTGCATTGGTGACAGATTGGGCCTCGGTTGTTCAATTGCCCTCTCCCCTTTTAGGGCCTCTTCCCCAGGGAGCTCTGGTCCCATTATCCTCCCCCTGCACCCGTTTGCCTTGCCCTGACAGGGTCGCACTTCCCTCTGGGGGTGGGTCCTTCCATGCTGGTTCCCCTCAGCAATAGCAGCTGCCATTATTTTCGCTTTCCCCTTGGATTTCTCCTCATCCCTCCGTACCTTGAGCTTCTGGGCTCCTTTTATCATGTCATTCAATCCCTTCTCCTGCCATTCCCGCAGTCTTTCTAGCTTTGTCTTATATCCAGCCAAGCACGAGTGACAAAGGTTATCTTCAATAAAGCTTGTCCAGCTGTTGTATCAGAGTCTATACCTGAGTATTGTCTCGTATTTCTGTTTAACCTCTCCAGCCACTCACTTGGAGTCTCCTCCTGCTTTTGTTGTTCAGCAAATGCCTTGTGGGCATTCTGAGTTTGGGGGGAACAGCCTCCCTAATTCTCCCTGACAATTAATGCTCTATAATCTTCCATGTTTTGCCTTCCCCCGGGGTTATGGTGGTCCCAATTAGGGCATTGCAAGGGCATTTTCTGCTCCTCGCGGCGTCCGTGGTGTACATGTTCCCTCTCCCAAATCCACATCCCTGCTGCTCAGATCATTTGTCTTTCCACAGCTTTAAACAAAAGGTTTATTATAGATTGTACTTTGTCCAAGGTATAAACATTAGGTCCCAAAAATTGGTCTACTTGTTCTGCTAATGCAATCGGATCTTCTAGTAGAATTTTTTATTCCTTTTTAAATGCTCTCACTTTGCAGGAATTAAGTGGGGCAGTGACAAACCCGAATCCCTGTGTGCCCCAGCCAATGTCACTTCCCAGAGGGGGTTTAGTGCCACTGCTTGGTTCTCATTTTTCCACTCCTCTGGCTGGACCACTCTGCCCCAGATATTCTGGCTGGGTCCATCAGGGGCTGCAGGGGGTGCATCGGTTGCTGGCGGATATGGAGGGGACACACACTGTAAGGGTTCCCAGTTTTTAATTTCTCTTTATTTAAACAAGTTCTCCTTTTCCACGGAAGCCTCACCCTTCCAACTGGCAGCAGAATCAGTTTTTTCCTGACTGACTGGTTCTTAGGCATTCACATGAATATTCAAAGTTTGGCACATCCACCCCTCAAAGGAACTCTCTTTTGGCCAGTATAAATAATCAGATCTTATCTCCTGTTTAGTCTATTTCATCATATCATAATTAATCATTTTGATTTTATTTTTATTCTTTGTGTCAGGGTTATGTTCCCACTGTGCCAATTTTATCCCTAGGGGCTATCTGGAGGTATATCCATTGATGTTTCCCTGCTCCCCTTTCCCCTGGGGGTTTTCTCTTTGCTTGCTTTGTGTCCCATTTTCTTGGCTTATCCCAGCACTGTCCCCACAACTTTTTTTTCCTTCTTTCTTAAATTTCAAGCAAATCTTACTCTACTCCATTCACAGGTATTTTCCCAGTCCGTCTCAAGTACTCTTCCGGCTCTGGGAACTAAATGCTTTTTTCCCACACACTATTTTCAACACAAATTAAAAAAAATAATCATGCCTGAATGCTGGCTCTTTCTCACTCCCAGTCCCAGGCACTCTTTTGTGTGGCTGTGCAACGCCACCTCTCATGACAGATTTCACTCTCACACCACACCCAAGGTTCACATCCCAGTCCACAACTGAAACACAAAATTACACTCATATGTGTCACGATGGGGCTCATTAGTCAGAGACACACAAACGACACAAACTCTAAAAGGTTCTTGTGACAAACAGCCTCACTATTGTTCAGACCCTCTTTATACAAGGGGATGGAATCTGCTGGCTTAAGACAGCTGATTGGATGGGTTCTCTCCACCCAGCTCTCTGGCCAGTGGTGTATTGGTGTCTAAGCTTGAGCAGGGCTGCCTGAGGTCTTTGCTTGGGTTTGAATCCAACCTATCCTTGCCTTATCCAGGGACTTGTTTTCTTCTAGGCTGGTGGAGTTTAGGGGGCAGCTTCAGATCAGCTGCAATGTGACAATTCATCCTCTTGGTTAGATTAAAAAATGTAAATGATGAGCCTAGTTGAAGAAGGCTTTTTCACCCAACTCAACAAGCCCAGTCTCCCACAGCTAGTGATGTACCTCGTGCATCACTGGAGTTGTGATGTTCACATCCAGAAGCTGTCAGGCAAAACCACCTACATTAGAATCCTTTAGGTTAGCATGCCACAGCCTTTATGTTTAGAAGTTACAAAGTTCCAACTTAACACTACAAACAATAAACAATTCAACTCAAAACTATTTCAATTAAAACCACACATATTTCTACCACTGATGTTTTCTAAATATTTGAGTCTCGGAGTGAGGAGATGGGCAGATTGTCTTTCCATTGACAATCTTCTGCTTCCGAGGAGCTGTTGGCTTGCCAGGTTATGTTGTAATTTTATTTTAAAACATCGGAGAAACATGAGTACATGAGAGTTTGAAATAATCATCAAAAGTTGTATAATGTCCTTGGTGGCTTTCAGAGCTTGTTGCTCATACTCTTTTCCTCGTTGAAGTAAAACAAAAGTTCATATCTTAACGACTGGTTATTCCTCTACGGAGGTTAATCCGCCTATTTCTTTGGTGGGTTTTTCCTTCTATTTTTTCAGGTTCTTTCTTTCTCTGACTCCTACGCTGTTCAGTTTTTTAGCCTTTCTGTCTTTTCCTGGCTCCTACACTGTCTGGTTTCCTTGCCTTACCAGCTTTTTCCAGCTCTTGCACAGTTCAGTCTCCCCTGCTCTGTAACACAGAGAATAGCTGAGCCGCATCACTTCATGGGTCATTACATATCACAGTGGAGGCCGTTCCTCAGCGACGTACAAACAACCCAACTCTCAAAGATCTCTGTGAATAACAGCCTCAGGTTTATTCTCACAGCTCCTTTCATAGGAGCTTCAAATTTCCCTCGTTTACAGATGTGATTGGTTGAGGTGTCAGCACCGTCCAGCTCCCTGGCCAATGACAGGTTTGCATTTAGGGCTGAAAGACATTGGCTGAGGGTCCCTGTGTAGAATTGAATCCAAGCTATGCTTGTTCCCCCAGGGAGTTGTTTATTTCTAGGCTGGTTGAATTTGGGGGGCAGCTTCAGACTGGCTGCACTGTGACACCCCTGCCATATATCCCAGTATAGACCAGTATGGACCAGTATGAACCCGTATAAACCAGTACAGACCACTTGTACAGTACAGCCTCTTGTCCCAGCTGCCACCCTCCCACCTGCCCACGTGCCCCCCATGCCCCATTGCCCCTTCCCCACCCCCACCCCCGTGCCCCCTCCCCATCCAGTGTCCCCTCTTTCCCCCTCTCCCCCCCCACCCCCATTGCACCTCTTGGAGCTCCACGCTCAGGCCATATATCCCAGTATAGACCAGTATGGACCAGTATGAACCCGTATAAACCAGTACAGACCACTTGTACAGTACAGCCTCTTGTCCCAGCTGCCACCCTCCCACCTGCCCACGTGCCCCCCATGCCCCATTGCCCCTTCCCTATCCCCGCCCCCGTACCCCCTCCTGGCTCTTTGGCACCTCTCAGCCACCCCACAGGCACTGGGGCTGGCGGGAGCACCATCGAAATAGAAATTGATGATGTCATCAACTGTCCCCAGCAGGTGATCCTTGGCCAGGCGGGCGTTGGCCTCCCACAGCCACTCAGCCTCAGCCACCTTGGCCACAAAGTCCTCAGGGACATCAGGGGACATCTCATTTGTCCCCTCCAGGGTGGCCTCGATGTCCCCAACCATGCACTGCAGCTCCCGGGGGAATGCGGTGGCTTCGTCACACGCGGCCACCAAGCGCTCCAGTGG